ATAAGCTCATCTTTGGAAAGCACATTAATGATCTTTAATGTTACAGGGATAGAGTAAATGGGATTCAGGAATATGGATTAATAAATCATATACTCTTTGTTTAAATGTTTTATTTAATTTTTGAATAGCTAATATATTCACATAACTTGAACATCAAAAAATAAAAGCAGTGAAAAGTTTCCTCCCCATATTCGCCCCCATCTTTCTAGTTTCTGTCACTCCCCTAGTAGGTAACTATTGTTATTAACTGCTAGTTTATCCTTCCAGAGATGTTTTATGCATGTAACTAAAACAAACCTGTATTCTTCCCTACACTGGTAGAGGAGGTTTTTTAAACACTAATGGCAGTGTGCTTTTCTGAATTTTATTTTTACATTGTAATGTATCTTGGGTATCTTTCCGTATGCATACATGAAGGCCTTCTTTGTCTGTTTTACAGAAGGGTAATATTTCATAGTATAAATGAACCATCGTTTTACTAACATCGTTTAGTCTGTCCCCTATTGTTGGACATTTAGATGTTTCCCATCTTGCCTTATTATATATAATGTTTCAGGGAATGGCCTGTGTAAATACTATTCTGCATATGGACAAGTATATTATCTTTCGGATACATTTCTAGGAATAGAACTGCTGGATCAAAAGAAGTCTACGTTTGTAATTTTGTTAGATATGATTAAATCATTTTCTCTGGGGATAGTGCCAATTTGCACTTCACTGTATAATCGTGTTTGAGAAACGTGAACCATGATTGATGCTCATTTATCTGGACAAAAATAAATTAGACTTCTTAGAATCTGTAGCTCAGTTCCTGTTAGACATGTACAGAAGGAAATGCACTGGAGAGCTGAAAAAAAAAAATGCTCTTCTGATTTATTCCTTTTTTTGACTTTGAATACTGAAGGCCAAAGAGGAGAGTGACTTGCACAAGGTCACATAGCTGATTAGTGACAGATCTGGGACTTATAACCTGTAGTCAGATCTTAGAATTGGTGTTCTTTCCACATGAGTAAAGAGATGATAACTTTCTGTCATTCCTGCTTGTGTGCTGAGGATTCCTTGTATGCTGCTGCTGTTGACGATGACATTTACCATTTCTTGAGCCTTCCTATGTATCAGACTTTGAATTTAATACTTCTGTTTACATTTTCTTATTTATACCAAGGGATTCAAAACTCATGTGCAAGATAAAGCATTGTCCATAGACTTTGCATCCATGTGTGTTACATATATATGTCCACTATGAAGATGCTACTGTGTTTAATAAAACATAAATCAATACAAAGCATCATTAAAATTATAATAGCTCTTTGTCTCTAACATGTTCTCAATGGATTTTGAAACTATTATTGTGAATAATTAGTCATGATATTTTGATATTAAAAAGAATTCTTAGAATCAGTGAGCCGCTTAACCATGTTTAAGATCACTTTTAACTGCCCAGATATCATTCTATTTTCCATCCATCTCTATTATAAGGTTAGATATTAATAATGCTACACAACACAGAAGAGACAACAGAGATAATCTAAACAGGAGATTTATTTTACAGATAAGGAAAAAGGCAAGGACCACTGAAATGAAGGGTTTATCTAAGACATGATGACTAAAGGGCTGGAGCAGGAATTCAAAGACAGGCCTCCTGACTGAATTTTCTAACAGAAAACGAGAAACTCAGTGTGGAGTAGTTACTCATAAGTACTACGGACAATTACAATAATGAAGGAGATTTCCTGTCTAGCCTCATATTGATTCACCTCCAGCTTTGTGGATCTGAGAGGTCATCATGTTGGTCGATAATAACACTTGATCTTGGATGCTGTAAATTTAATATAGAGCATAAATACAAAGATCAATATTTTAATGCTGAGGAGGCTCATTTATTGCCTGTTTATCCTCAGACCTTTAAATGAAATGGAGAACTAAAGAAATGCAAGGAATAATTTTTCCGAAATTTCATTTAAGTTTTGTAGATGATGATGACTAAAGGAAAGCGAAGGAAAAGTTTATGATGTCACTATTTTCTACACTTATGGGCTTTTCTCGCTTTCTCTTTCTCTGTTTCTCCCTTATCCCTCCCTCCCTCCTCCCTCCCTCTTTCCCGTCCTCCCACCCCGCCCCCGTTAATATCTCTAAGCCTCCTCTTTACTTTGCTCAATGTCTTTTATGACTCCAGATAAGAGGCACTTATTCTTGATCTTCTCCATCCACAAAATAAGAGAACCATGGTCATGTCCCGTTGTTCTTTCGTGTGTGTGTGTGTGTATATATATATATATATATATATATATATATATATTTTTTTTTTTTTTTTTTTTTTTTTTTTTTTTGAGACGGAGTCTCGCTCTGTAGCCCAGGCTGGAGTGTAGTGGCCGGATCTCAGCTCACTGCAAGCTCCGCCTCCCGGGTTCACGTCATTCTCTGGCCTCAGCCTCCCGAGTAGCTGGGACTACAGGCGCCCGCCACCTCGCCCGGCTAGTTTTTTTGTATTTCTTAGTAGAGACGGGGTTTCACCGTGTTAGCCAGGATGGTCTTGATCTCCTGACCTCGTGATCCGCCCATCTCGGCCTCCCAAAGTGCTGGGATTACAGGCTTGAGCCACCGCGCCCGGCCGTTCTTTCGTATATTAAGTGTTTGATGTTTAGAAGCAGTAGGGAAGGGGGTAAAAAGCATAGACTTTGCCTTCAACAGTGGGAACAAGAGTGCCAAAATGGCCCTGGAACAACATTTCCCAAAGGTAAAATTGTGGAAATCTAGTCCTATGAGGTGTTCTTCAAAGTACAGGTTTCAACTGGATTTAGGAAACAGAGCATTTTGTATTCTCCTCCTGGAGATGCGCAACTCCTTATGGCATTTTAAATACCCACTGAAGTCTTGCAGTAAGGTAACTGGTGTGATATAATTTCACCTTTTTTTTTTTTTTTTTCCCAAATTTAATTGACCTTTAAACCGATATCATACCGAACCCATTTGGGGAAATGCTGCTTTATAGAATTGTGTGTTATTCCAGTTCAGTTTTTCTGCCATTTGTATCCATTAGAAAACTTAGAATATCATAGTTGGGTATAAATAACAAGTAGCCACAAGGGGGGAAATAAAGTAAGGCTAAGCACAACCTCCTTCCTTTATGGATTCTAACATTCACTAAAGAAACTAAAGTACAGTATTCATATATATTTACTATGGTACAGGACTTGCATTGCTTGAATTTATGCAACTCTTGCTTGTTACTTTTGTTCCAAAAAAATGATATCACTGTGTGCTATTTTTTTTTTCCTAAGTACACCTCAAGTCCCTTCATCCTTCGCTTCTATATTGTAGTGGTTCTCACTTTAAAAGTAAGTTTACCTGTGAAACAACATCTGCGTGAGTTTATTAGTGAAGTTTTGTATGCCTCCTTTGATCACATGAGCCCCTCTTTAATATCGGCTGACAAGGGTTTAAATACTGTTTCAGAATTAATCATGGAAACCAATGCTTTAAGTCTTTTTTAAACATCAAATAGTAGTATCAACATTTAGTGGGCAACCAATAGAGATTTTTCTTTTCTTTTTTCTCTTTCTTTTTTTGAGACAGAGTCTCACTCTGTCGCCAGGCTGGAGTGCAGTGGTGCGATCTCTGCTCACTGCAACCTCCGACTCCCTGGTTCAAGTGATTCTCCTGCCTCAGTCTCCCAAGTAGCTGGGATTACAGACATGCACCACCATGCCCGGCTAATTTTTGTATTTTTAGTAGAGACAGGATTTTATTATGTTGGCCAGAATGGTCTCGATCTCCTGACCTCGTGATCCGCCCACCTCAGCCTCCCAAAGTGCTTGGATCACAGGCGTGGTCCACCATGCTCGGAGAGATTTTTCTTATAGTGACTTATTTGCTGATATTCAAATGCCATATGCATTTTTTGACTATACCATATTCTTATTTTTGAATACTCTTATTCTTCTGTCATTCTTGTTGGAATTGAGTGATACTGATTAGTCAACACAAATAATTTCATTATAATATTCCAATTACATTAGATTGAATTTGTCTTTGTGATCAAAGTTGATTAGTTGTTATGATTTACATCAGTGAAATGGACTAATAATTCAATTCACCGATAAGACTGGCAAGCAAGAGTTACAAGGCATTTTCAAGTAAATTTGATTAAAATGTGGGGTTTTCTTCTACTGTTTCTTAAAATGAGAACAGTCCTCTTTCACTACGTTCCTAAAGTTAAAAGTTTATGTGTGCGTAGAGATTGAAAGAATAGCACAATGGCTTGTTGTGTATATAAAAATATCAAATTTTGTGTTTTTCAACATAAATAGGAGTTGAAAAGTATAGATTGCATTAACATGTTTGAATGTTTTAATAATACAATAAAATAGATAATTAACTATTAACCTATTAAAATAGGTATGAACTATTAGTGTATCTTATGTAGGTGATGATTGGTAGGTTACACTTTCTAAATTGGCCGGAATGTTTTGCAGTTATTCTTCTTAAGGTTATTACTGATTATTAAAAATTCTCTTGTCTTTTTTTTTTCTTTTTCTTTCAGAAACTTGCTTTTCTTTATTGTGTACAATGCCTGAAAATTGCCTTACAAGTAAGCTAGGCTAGCACTGGCTCTTCCTTCCCATGTCAATCTAGATGTTCCTTTGGCAGGCAATTATTCCTCAGTTTATTTCCCACCAAGGATTTGTCTTTTTCCAGGGAACCAATTATGTACATCTTATACTATAATCTGTGTCACTTGAATCTGACCAAAAACTATGAAACAATTCACTGGTTGGGGATTCCTTTTCACAATTAGAATCTTCCTGGGAAATTGCCTACTTAAGGAGGTTGTGCTACTTAACATCTTCTACCAGAGAAATATTTGCATCGCCAATGTATTGCTTAGCTTGCTGGTCTCCAGGCTCTAACACAAATACCTAAAATAAACAAAGTATTATTTATGTAAAAAGTGAAAAATACCTTGCTTATCCTCTTTTTCCTTCCTTTTGTATTTACAGATGTCATCCATACTGTAGGGCCAATAGCCAGAGGCCATATTAATGGTTCCCACAAGGAAGACCTTGCAAATTGCTATAAATCATCTCTGAAGCTGGTGAAAGAAAATAACATCCGATCAGTTGTAAGTAATTTTATGGTTTTTATTTCTCACTCTTTTTCAGCCTTTATGCTTTAGAAATCTGTCTTGTCTAAAAAGAGGTAGGAAACCATTTCTCAACTTTTGAGAACTAAGTTTAAGGATCTTAGTAGCCAATTTGGTAATCATGACTCTCCTCTTTGGTGTGCTATAAATATTTACTGAATTTTTCATGATGTTTCAGAATTTAAAACTATAAAACGCCAGAACTGGATTTATCTTATCTACTTTTTCCTCTTCATTTTGCCACTTACTTTCCTTTGGAGAAAGTAAATAGTATGGTAGTGGGGTAGTGGCCAGCAGATTTAAAGAAGGAAAATAGCAAATACTGAGTTTGTTATAATAGTTTGCATTTAATATATATTGGTTGTATGTTTGTGCATTCTGGAGCTATGTTGAATCTCTGTCTACATGCATTAGTGTCTGCATGCATTCTCATGCTAGCGTCAGACATGATTTATTTGCAGGAAATTACTCTGTGTATGTATTTTAACCTGAATGTTGTTATTCTTTTAGATTTATTTTACTCTTATTAGACTAATATTCTGTAGGTGGTAGCTGGGTATACCACATCTCTTCTAAGTTTTATCAGTAGACAAAGGGAGTTCAGAAAATGTGGATCTAATCTATTTCCTTACCAATAGGCTGAGATGAAAGGAATTCTCTTCTAGCTGGATTTGGAGGTATTTACTCACCTGCTTTTCTTTTGCAACATGTTCTACCTTTATTACATCTCAATTACACCAAGAAAATCAAACTATAGAAAAACACACTGTAAATATCTAGTAATAAGTTAATTTGGCTGGAATCCCTTGGTTGTTCCCCCTACCCCACAAAGATTATAGCCTCGCTAAAATTGTGGGGCAGAGAAATAGTTAAATACTTGATTTCATAGCAGACTGAATAGATCAGCATTGCTTGATAGTTCACAGAAGTAGTGGTTTTATGATCTGCATGAAGAAGCATTGAGAAACAGATACATTTAGATAACCCTGGATGGTTGCTATACTTTTTGTGCATGAATGTAATTATGAAGTGCATTTTTCAATGCAACATTGGTGAGTCTGCTTGAAATAAGGAAACTTTTCATGACCTAATTATATAGTCCTTTTTAATCTTTGGATAATTATTAACAGAGCTGGATATTTTATTTATCTCTTTGACTTTCTAAAATTTTGTTTGCAAATGGCTCAATACATAAGATCCTATTATCTCTTAGAGGTGAAAGCTGAAGTTCAAAGAGAATGGAGCAAAGTATACCACAAGACCAGTTGGTTAATTTTGTTCTCTATAGGAAAATAAGAAAAATCAAAGCAGGCATGCACATTTAGGGAATAATTAAAATTTTGTCAATATGGCTTATTGATTTAAAAAAGCAAAAGGCTGAAGTGCTTGGAAAATGGATGTGTAGACAAGTTTCCAACTTGGGAAACATGGATTTTGAGACCTGAGAGAATTTGCTGTCTCTGGATATCACTGGCATCTCTAATGATTTGTTTTTAAAAGCCAAGAAAAAGTAAGAAGGAAGAATTTTGCTAGAAACAGTATAAAAATAACACTCAACCTTTTAATAGAGACAGGAATCTCTATAATTATCTCAAAACAATCATGTTACTCTACTTGCTACCATTAGATAAGGAATGGAAGAATTATGGACTAAGTTAACTTTTTAACAAATGGCATGCAGATAGGCTGAAGTAATGCTCTTGCAATACTCTAGTCATTCTTTGATAGGAATTAGATCTACCTTAACATCTTTGATTATTATTTTGAAGGACCAATTACATATTATTTGAATGAAATTAGCAGGTGAGGCTGAGCTGAATTCAACCCAATATTAATAAATAAAAATGGAGATGGAAAATACACAAAATGTGGGATGAAATGTCCAACGAAATTGATCATCAAGTTCTTGCATGGTAGACTACAGTTGCCATCAAATGTCATGTCTCTTTTACCCATAAAAAAGAAAAGTATTTTTCTTTCCTTTCTCCCTCCTTCCCTTCCTTCTTTCCTTCCTTTTCTTTGGAGTAGATGGGGTTTTCTTCTTTATATGGTATGTCATGTTCTTGATCACCATTAAATAAATAATAATGCCAATGTCATCACATCCTGATTATGTAGAGAGAAATAGAAAACTTTCAGAAACATGATTATGACTGGATACATGTTTTATAGTATCGGCTTGTATTTTGTCAACTTATCACAAAAGATGGTAGAAATGGTTGCTATAAAAAGCCTGGTTATTAGGATGCAAAATAAACTTAACTTGAACTCATTTATATACCTGTCAAAAAGAATTTCTCATAAATCCTTTTATCAGAGTGACTTAGTGTTTGCTTTGCCACTTATTACTGTGTGACTGTGGACAAGTAATGTCAACATTTTGTAGCCTCAGTTTCCACATATAAAGAATCAGTAAATTACTACTGTTATTGCAGACCTGTCCATCTCATGAGGCTGTTGTTACAGGGATCAGTCGGGATAATGAGTATAAGATAACTGGAAGAATGGAATTCTTTCAAAAGTATTTGACAGTGTTACTTCAAATATAAGACATTTTCACACCTTGTGATTTGGCAATTTAAGGAAATATCACTTATTTCTTTGATATCTATTCTGAACACCAGAACGCTAGACATTTACTATGTAATTTCTTGATGTTTTTAAACAACAGGGAAATATCCAGAAATAAATTAAATATTTGATAGGCACCACTTTTCTGCTAAGGTTAAACCAAAGGCTTTAGGGTCACAGCACAGGGTCCAACATATGTATTCTTATTCTTATTTTACCAAAAGAATAGATTCTTCAAATGTTTTTAATGAATGTAAGACAAATAGTATGATAATTTATTTAATAAATATGAGTAAGACCTACTGTGTACCCCAACATTATCAGGTATCTTCTGTGACATAGAGAAAATCTAATGGTTGTTTCCTAACAAAATATGCCTCCACCTTATGACCACCTAGACAAATAAATGGGCAAGATCATCATGTCCACTGTTTGATTTGAGAATATTCTGTAGTTCTCTCATCACTTTTAAATATCTTCCCAGAGATGCATGAAATTCCATAATTCATGAGTAATTTAGGATGTTAAGGCATTGTTCTTTCTCTGCAATTTTCCTTTAAAATGCAGATACTCATGAGATTAGTAGATAATTAATTTTCTAATACTTTAATATGAAGAAATTTATCAAATTACTTTTCATGTTGACAGGATAGAGTATGATAAAAGTACTGAGCACCTTAGCCTTAGGGGAGGAGAATTGGAGAAAGGTCTGAAAGGAGATGGAGAAAAACAGAAGAAGAGTAGGGTATAATTAAATTTCACCTACCTCTCAGTTTTGCTAAGAGGAGATCATTTTTGAATAGTGGAGAGGGAAATGTTATAGTCATACATAATTATCTAGAAATAAGATACTGATTTGGGTGTCAGATGTGTTGTGAATAAAAATTTTTACTATGAAAAAATACTACATATTTTATTAACTTAGGGGAAAAAATTCATTACATTTCTCTCCTCCATACATTCTTTGTGACAGCTGTTTTTTCATACCTATCCACATTAGCTTTAGGTGGTAAAAGAAAAAAATAAATTAGTCAACAAATCTAATGGCTCATTTTACAATGGCATTTCTCTTTTATGAATGATTATTTAGGGCTTAATATCAGGAAATATTTAAATGTAAGATTTTATCCTGATTCTCCTTCTAATCTTACCATAAATAGTTTCAATTGAAAAAATATGACCAGTCTTTCATGCCTCCTAGACCTAGTCTTTGCAAGTTTCTTATTTCTCCCAAATATTATTCCTTATTGACTCCAAATGTTAAAGTCAGTTACTTTTCTTTAACCATGAGTTACCCTTGGACCCCAAAAATGCATATATATATATTCTTGACAACCTTGAGATTGTTGATTGCAAGATAGGCAAAATTTAAGGCACCACGAAGAGGATAATTAGCAGTCTAAACTGGAAATTGGAGTGTGAATAAAAGAAAACTTTAAAAGGAGATCAGGGAGCCTACAGATTTTCTCTGTAAAACCTTGGGAAAGACAAAGATATTATAGATGTCAAAAAAGAAAAAAGACCCAGGTTGAATCCCAGAAGTCTAATGCATGTGACCTGAGGAATGCATAGTCAGATTGGTGAAATCAAGCCTCTGAATTATGTTGATTTCTAGAACAACAGTGTGTCCTGAAACAAGGAAAACTACACATATGCATGATATCCTTGGCTATATATATGTAAAACATACTAACAGAAATTGTGTGTATTGGTGAAAATCTTGGTGAAACCTCAGGGGTGAGTGTAGGGGTGAAGACAAGAAAGAAAAATTTCTATTGAGCCAGAGCTGGAAAATGAAAATGCCCGATTTTGTATCCATTATCACCACGCACTGTTGGAGAGGATGACAGAGATATTTTATCATGTATCATGCTGTCTTTATTCTTTTTGTCTGTGGGCATACAACTATTTTGTAATGATTTTTATGTGTTTATCTTGACCTCTATTTCCCTTCTTTTAACATCATGTTCATTTAAAAAAAAAACTAATCCATGCCATACAAAAGGGATCACAGCAATTTCTTCTTCTAGAACCAGTTCAAAGGCATAGATTTATATTTGTCAATGGTATTAGATATTCAAGAAAACTATTTTCACTGATGAAATACAATGCACCCTGTCTGACATTCTTCGAATGACAACATGTAATAAAGTAGATGTTTTAGTTTGAAAAAATCATAATCTTGAATATAAGCCAGATTTTACTTAGGCTAAAAATTATTTTCCCATGAAAATAAATAATTGACATAGGAATTTGTTGATTTTATGTGATTATGGGCAAACTAAAACTTGTATGTTTGTTTAAATGGCGTGTGCTATCTGTGGTTTCCACAGGCATCATGCTGGATGATTTTTTGAATGTAAAAACATTGTAAATTTTTGCTGGTAGGAACCACACAATTTCAATAG